ATTTTATTTTGGTGTATGTTCACTTTTAGGAAGATTTCTGTGGCAATTCTGTAAATCAGACCCCTTAATTCGCACTCTCAGACCACAATGCCAAAAGAGCATTCTGGGTAATTTGGTTATGCAGATGACATGCTAATGAAAAGCGGGTTTAAGCCGTAAACAACAGCGTGACCATGGGGAGCCCAGCTGTTCTGGAGTCTGACATGTATCCTGCTTAAGTAATGTGCAAATCATTATCATGGCAGCAGTTCACACAGAGAGCAGAGCCGAGCATGAGTGAGAGGAAAAGCCTTCCTTCAGACCGTCAGACAGCCATCAGGTGAGCAGCTTCAACACGACCAGCAGGTAATGGTGAGACGTAAACGGTGTGAAAGTGTGTCCTAATGCTGTTTACTCTGGAGCAAGCCTGAATGGAGCTGTTTGTCTAGTGTGAGAACTCTTCCTCATCCTCCACATAAACACACACACACACACATGTACAGCTATCTTTATGGGGACTTCTCATACACATGAGAATTATAATAGTGTGCATACTGTGTATTCCCTTCCTCTACTCCTCAACATATCTCTCACATCATACAATCTGGACTTTTAGGAAGAAAAAAACACACACACACACACACACACACACACACAAGCTCTGCATCTGAAAAGATTAAAGGGCCTAACACTCAACCTTGTAACATTCGTTCATTCATGCATTTTCTTTTCGGCTTAGTCCCTTTACTCATCAGGGGTCACCACAGCGCAATGAACCGTCAACTATACTGGCCATTTTTTTATGCAACGGATGCCTTTCCAGCTGCAACCCAGTACTGGGAAACACCCATACACACTCATTCACACAAACACAAACACACACACACAATGACAATTTAGTTCATCAATTCCCCTCTATCGTATGTGTTTGGATTGTGGGGGAAACCGGAGCACCCGGAGGAAACCCACGCCAACATGGGGCGAACATGCAAACTCCACACAGAAATGCCAACTGGCTCAGCCAGGACTCGAACCAGCGACCTTTTTGCTGTGAGAGGATTGTGCTAGCCACTGCACCACTGTGCTGTCCCGCCAATTATTTTTATTATTACACAATGTTTTTATTGCAATAGTTTATTATTACATAACTTCCTTTGCGAAAAAAAGAAAAGGGTGAGAAGTATGTACTTGAGTGTGATGCTGTTTTCAGACACTTAATTGCATGTTAACTGCAATAAAATGACGATATATTACGTTTAAATGTAATTATCGGACCTTCTCCCGCATAGCAAATGTTTCCTGGCCCAGCACCGGGCCACACAATAACTTTCCCTCAACCCAAGTACCGCAAAGAATGACGGTCCTGAAGTGGACCATAACTGGATTAAATACAAGAGCCACACATGGGCCAAAACCGGCCTGAATCTCAGGCAATTTATCACCCTTAACTGGTTTATTATTGGTACAGATTCTCAGCTATAAGTTTATACTTTAACCAGTATCCTTAAAAACTGAGCCATAACCCAGCCTAATGCTATCTAAACAATCGCTACACTGATCTGGGCCACACACCTCCCATCCACAGCTGGCCCAAATGTAGTTTGCCGTCATGCATGCAGTGCCATCATTGTCATGCATGGCCCACATTTGGCTGACATTATGCATGCCAGTGCCGGCAACACGCCAGCAGTGCCATAATGAGGCCACATTTGGGATAAGTCCGCTTTCTATGTGGGCTGAGTCCTTTTTAATCCACCTGAATAAGACTTATTTTAAATATCCAATTGCATGATTACCTCTTTGAAATATGGTTGGAGTGAGCTGCTTATTATACTGAAAATAGTGACCTTTTCTATTGAAATGTGTGTGTCATGCATTATTAAACAATAAAACAATCATAATGATGTTCATTCGTTCATTTTCTTTTGAGCTTGGTTCGTTTATTCATCAGGGGTCACCACAGCGGAATGAACCGCCAACTATTCCAGCTTATGTTTTAGGGTTATTCAATTTAAGTTTACTCAATTCCCCTATAGCGCATGTGTTTGGACTGTGGGGGAAACCGGAGCACTGGGAGGAAACCCACACCAACACGGGGAGAACATGCAAACTCCATACAGAAATGCCAAGTGACCATGCTAGGACTCGAACCAGCGACCTTCTTGCTGTGAGGCCACATGGCTAACTAACTATTAATAGTCTATATAGGAAACAAATTTTTTTTACTTTGTGTAAATGTCATTGTTTCCCAGAGATGGGTTGCGGCTGGAAGGGCATCCGCTGCGTAAAAACTTGCTGGATAAGTTGGCGGTTCATTCCGCTGTGGCGACCCCGGATTAATAAAGGGACTAAGCCGACAAGAAAATGAATGAATGAATGAATGAATGTCATTGTTTGACGGATCCCACACAATCTCTTCATGTTGTTCCAATGCAAATCAATTAAGTGCACTTTACAAATTTAAGCTGATCGATCATTGATTGATCATAAGACAATTAAGCTATCGCCAATTAAGTTAAAGAATCTATATTATCGACCCCCCCCCCCCCCTAAAAAAAAAAGAACATCAAAAATTGTATTGTTTCATCTCATTTTAAATAAGTAGTTGGGACGTCACTGTGGCGCAGTGGTTAGCACGATCGCCTCACAGCAAGAAGGTCGCTGGTTTGAGCCTCGGCTGGGTCAGTTGGCATTTCTGTGTGGAGTTTGCATGTTGCATGTGATGGGTTGCAGCTGGAAGGGCATCTGCTGCGTAAAACATATGCTGGATAAGTTGGTGGTTCATTCCGCTGTGGAATAAGCCGAAAAGAAAATGAATGAATAAGTTAAAAAGGTTATCGAGCCCCCATCCCGACCCCCCACCCCAAAAAAACCCAACAACATCAAGAATTGTATAATTTCAGCTCATTTTAAATAAGACGTTGGGGCTTCCTCTACGAAAAAACATGTGCTTGATAGGTTGGCGGTTCATTCCGCTGTGGCGACCCCTGATTAAATAGACTAAGCAAAAAAGAAAAAAGAAGAAATCTGATTGGTTACTCTCCAAAAATGTTTGTTCAAACTACTTTTGATTTTTTTTTTGAGGGTGGACAACTTAATTTATTCATGTTGAATCCACTTTCTACACCTCATCTGTAAAAATTAATGAAGTAACTTAATTCTGTCATGTTGTCCCAACTCAAATCGAGTGTGTGGAAACAAACATTTTTTTTACAGTGCTATGTGTGTTTTGGGCGGCAGAGTGACTCAGTGGTTAGCAATGTTACCTTACAGCAAGACGGTCACTGACTCGAACCTGGGCTAGGTCAGTTGGCATTTCTTTGTGGAGTTTGCATGTTCTCCCCGTGTTGGCGTGGGTTTCCTCCAGGTGCTCGGGTTTCCCCACAATCCAAAGACATAGGCTATAGGGGAATTGATGAACTAAATTGTCCTTGAGCGTGTGTGTGAATGAGTGTGTATGGGTGTTTCCCAGTACTGGGTTGCAGCTGGAAGGGCATCCACTGCGTAAAAAATTTGTCAGAATAGTTGAAGGTTCATTGCGCTGTGGTGACCCCTGATGAGTAAAGGGACTAAGCCGAATAATGCGCTATAGGGGAGTTGATGAACTAAATTGGTCGTAGTGGATGTTTCCCGGTGATAGGGTGCAGCTGGAAAGACTGTGTAAAACATGTGCTAGATAAGTTGGCGGTTCATTCCGCAGTGGCGACCCCTGGTTAATACTAAGCCGAAAAGAAAATGAATGAATTATGGTTTATGGCTGTTCAATTTGCCTTAAAGCAATGGTCTATTTTTTTATAAAGGGCCAAAAATCAAATGTTATTGAGGTGGGCTGAAGGCAAATATACAGTAGGTGGGGTAATTTAACATGGGTAATTACCTATTTTAATAAATAATGTTTAAAAATTACTAAAAGACATTGCTTTATATTAACTAATACAATTTTTTTTTTATTGTGCAATGAACTTATTCCAATAAAAACAAACCTGTCTAATTTAAAACAGAATTACACTAGTGCTTGCCTTGATTTGATCGCCGATGTCTTCTGCATATCCTCTATGCATCGAGTGACTATTTACATTTAAAATTCAGATTTATCTACATTTGATTAAAACATTTAATTTCAGTTTGATTTTTTGAAGCTCAGCAATGAAACAATTTCAAATTAGAAATGACGATCTCTGTGTTAAAGGCATTCGCCCCAACCCTCTATATCATAGTCACTCTCCTCTCAGATGGGATGGTGGCCAAATCAAAGGTTACAATGGGCCAACTTTGGCCCGCAGACACTACTTTTGGCATCTCTAGTCTATAGAGTAAACAATATATTTTACCTCGTGTGAATTAATTTTTTCTTGCCCACCATAAATATTTTTGATATGGATCAAATACAGTTTTAAACTTAGTTCGAGTCAAATTATACATTGAGGAAAAACTACATATTTTAGTCTACAGTATTATTTTTAAAGTTGGTTCAAAGTATGATGTTTAAGAGTATGTTTCAGTAAATACAGTGCTAATCAAGCTTATATACTTCTAAGAAAATAAACCACAGAATTTCTATATAATATTATTAATAATCATAATAAATAATATTAATAATATTAATTATTATAAATAATAATAATAATAACAATAGTAATAATAATAATAATAATAATTATTATTATTATTATTATTATAAATAATAAATAATAATCGTTAATATTATTAATATAAATAATAATAAACAATAATATAAATAATAATTATTATTATTATTATTATTATTATAAATAATAATAATAAATAACAATAATTATAAATAATAAAAAATAATAATTATTATAAATAATAACATTAATAATGATAATGATTATAAATAATAATAATAATAATAAATAATAATGTTAATAATAATAATGATAAAAAATAATAATAACAAATAAATAAATAAATAAATAAATAAATAAATAAATAAATAAATAAATAAATAAATAAATAAATAAATAAATAAACAAACAATAGTATCTCGCATATCTGACCGTGTCTGAGCTGACGGATGTCCTGTGTTTCTCCAGCGAGGGGATGAACACCGGGATGATCTCTCCGTTCCTCTCGGGCACCGGCGGCGGCGTGTCCTCCCTCCCGGTGTCCTCCCTAACGATCTCCGGTTCATCCTCAGCCTCGGGCACCGGGATCCCCTCCGTGACGAACTCTTCATCGCAGCGCAGCTCGTGTTTCCTCAGCAGCTGATCGGTGTCCACATCCACCACTATGAGCTCCAGGCTCCCGGTGCTCTCCCGGATCCGCGCCACGACCTGCTGGTGGCTCTCGGCCTCCACTCGGGCTCCGTTCACGAACACCAGCCGGTCTCCAGCGCGCAGACCGGAGACCTCAGCTGGGGAGTCGGGCTCCACCAGCCGGATGAACTGCCCGGTTTTGCCCTTCTCCCCGTGCAGGTGGAAACCGTAGCCGGTGTCGCCCTTCTCCAGGACGCAGAGCCGCGGACGCAGAGATTTGCTGGGCATCACGCGGGTCACCTGTTGGTTTATTTAGAGTAATAAATAGTAATAATGAAAATAATATACCGGATGATGGAGGGTTCTGCTCACGGGTGCAGCATGATAGCCCGCTCCGCCTCGGTAAAGTCTAGCAAAGTAAAGTGTGGAGGGAAAGTTGTGCTGCTGGAGAGTTGATCACCCAGTGCTGACTGACTCCTCCTATAGAGATCCTCCTCCTCCTCCTCCTCCCGCTGCTGCGAGACTCTTTGTTTGTTTGTTTGTTTTGTGGTTAAATGTGCTGCTCAGCGGGGGTTATGAGGCATGACTAAAATTCCTCACCTGGGATAATAAAGTCTTACCCTACCTTACCTTATACCTACCTTAAAAAAAACTTCTACTGTTCCCTTAAACTGGGGGAACTTTTTATTTTTATATATTTTGTAATATTATAAGCATTATTGCAATAAATGTTGTAATAAATAAATCTGTATTTGTTTGTTTATTGGTTTGTTTGTGTACCTTTAAATAATTCATAGTAACATTGGATGACGTTGTGAACTCAAAAGTAATACATGAGAATTAAATGACACTAATAATAAAAAAATTATTAAATTACAGAGGCACAATATTACATTTTTAATTAAACATTTTCAGTTGCACACTGTTTAAACATTTTGTAATTTAATAACTCTTCTGCACTTGAAGTGAAATTCCTGCACTTTATTTATTTATCTGTCTGTCGCAAATGTAAACAATAGGACTTTTCAATAATCGTAACATTGAACGTTGTTAAAACAAAAGTAATACGGAAAGACAATTAGAAGAGAATTAAATTAAATGACAATAATAATACTAATAAATATAAATTAATAAAACTATTTACGATGGCAAAACATAATTTGATAAAACCTTTACACTGTTTCACATTTTCTTTTATAGCAAACATTTTGTAATAAAGTAGCCTCTCTTTGTAATAAAGTAACTCTCACACACACATGGGAAATTTCTGCACTTTTAAATTAATTAATTAATTATTTGTTAGTTTGTTTGTTTATTTGTTTGTTTATCACAGATGTAAACAATAGAACTTTTTAAAATCGTAACATTGGATGACGATGTAAACTCAGGAGTAATACAGAAAGACAATGAGAATTAAATAAAATGACAACAACAATAATAATAATAATAATAATAATAATAATAATAATAATAACAATGAACTTATAAAATAATTGGCAAAATATTCTATTTTAATGATACATTTTCACAGTTTCACACTTAAAAAAACATTTTGTTATTAAGTGAAACACACCTAGAGCACTTCTGCACTTTATTTATTTATTTATTTATTTGTTGTTTTCTTTGTTTGTTTATCGCAGATGTAAACAATACTTAAATCAATAATTTTTATTGTTTACCACTGCAATAAATAAAAAAAAAAATGCATGCATAGATAAAAAGTGCAAGACCAGCTAAAACCAGACTACAAATGGCTGGAAACCAGCCTGGAAGTGGCCAAAACGCCTCCAAAACCAGACTGGTCGACCAGCTAAAACCAGCCAACCATCCTAGGCTGGTTTAAGCAAGATTTTTCAGCAGGGGTATCACGTGACTCGCGGTGACGTCGCAAAACAAACATAGCGCCAAAAAGCGGTCAAGACCAAATCAACACGAACATTTATTAATCTGGCAGATGATTTCATACAACACGACCATCGACTCATTCACATCAGATGAAGTTCACATATTCACTTTATTCAAAAGTACAGGACACATAGAAAGTTTAAAGGTAAGGCAACAATAAATCATTAAGCTCATTATTATTATTATTATTTATTAGTAACTCTCGGCGGGTAATATCGCCCCCCTGTGGCTTTAATTATTCATAAATTATGAAACAATGAAAAAAATCCTCACAAAACGTGTGTGTATGTGGTTACAGTGGACGTTCATGGCACTTCGTGATCACGGTGAGGAAAGAAATGCGTTCAGATGACAAGAAATCAACATAACTTCACATCAATCATACAGTGTGCTGTGACATACAGCTGTCCCTGCTGAAAAATCCAGCTTAAACCAGCCTAGGATGGTTGGCTGGTTTTAGCTGGTCGACCAGTCTGGTTTTGGAGGCGTTTTGGCCCACTTCCAGGCTGGTTTCCAGCCATTTGTAGTCTGGTTTTAGCTGGTCTTGCACTTTTTATCTATGCATGCATTTTTTTTTTTATTTA